GCCTTCTTTGATCGTCTGCTTTATGAGGACATCTTCAATAACTAGTCCACGTATCTTTGCCCCCTCTATGACTCATATCCATGTCACTGCAAACAGTATCACGACATCGCGTCCTCCAACGCACTTGGATGTCTTTGCGGGACTGTTTCAATCTAGTATGTTGTTTAAGGGCTACCCGCCAAGATGTATTAACGCTGTTTAAGCCTCTTGTACAGTGTCGGTATTGAAAGACAAATTTGATCATCCTCAACGTCCATACATAAACCCGCAGGTAGACAACGCCTTTAAAAAGTAGTTTACGCTAATACCAGTTTAAATCATTTTTATATATTTATTTTTATTGTAACACATTGCATCCATTTTAACATTTGAATTTCAGCTCTAAAAACGAAATTCCGGCGGTTTTCACCACTTCTCCTTGTAAGTCATTTTGTCAGACGCACGCAGCAAACATCTTCTCAAAGATCCTAGCGGCTAATTTTCGGCGCATCGGCGACTTTGAAGATTTTTTCTTGTGCAATCCGGTGGTCGACGCGGAAATGGACAAGGTTGGTCGAAGAGCGGTGTTCTCTCTTAGTCATTGTGTGTTTTTCCTTGTTACACTTTTTGCTTATTATTGCGTTTCATAGTTAGCTATCAGGTGGGTAAAGGCGAAGTTTGCTCACATCTGATGGCCTGGCCGTACAGAGTGCTCATTTCTGATATGACCATTCCAGAATACCATGCTCTCTCGGTATTTTGCAATTCAACAACATCCTACCCGTTCCTTGATTGGTTGCACTGAAGCTACGATGTGTTGTGCCTTGTATTCTTTGGAACCCATCACTTCCGGAGTTTGAAGCCGATCTTTTTTCCATTCTGCCACGGCCATTCTGCCTCGCAATGTATGCTGGTTTTGGCTACTAATTCTTATTGCCACCTCTAAGTATTTTGGCCATATGCATTTTTTGCCTATGAGCCGCTGTTATTCGTATTTTCCTTGTTATTGTCAGCATCTGCTGTTTCTGCCAAACGTAAATTTATTTAAGACTTCGATCTTATATCATTAAAATTTAATTCCTACTTTTTCTTTTGCACAAATATCCATTTTAGAGCGAAATTCAAAATCCCACGTTTAATACCGAAGATGTGGATTTGCCAAGTGAGGAAATTGCACGTTTGTATTCACTTGGAAGTTCCCAAAGTGCTTCTGGCAAGTGTGCTTTGTTTTAACGTATTTTGTTTAATTGCGTATCTTCCTACTCCTTCTCATCTTGTTGATGATCACAGTGATCGCTGTGGACGTCGGTATCATTAACTGCTTTGGCACTGACATGGTCATTAGTGCCATAGCCAGAATTGTCGACGTTTTCATCATCTTCATTACTTTCGTCGCAATTTTTTATTTTCTTATGATCATAGTCATCCTTTCCCTCTAGATCATCGCTGCCATCATTACCATGTCATCATGTCCATCATCGCTGTGAATTTCGTCATAAGCATCAGGGTGTGGTGCCCCCTTCAATCTTAGTGCATGTGGACCCTTTGACCTGCAGAAGGATCAAGCTGATAAAAGCCCGTGGTTCGTCAGCTGTTCCTGCGTTCCAGCGTTAACAATGCGACTAGGAAGGAAACAACTGCGCCTGGCATCTGGTTGACCCCTAATGCACGACCAGAAAGTGACTGTCCATTGCTGGCAGTGACAGTAACGAATATGATTAAAGGGATAACCCCTTTGTACTTAAATATTAGATGACGAAGTGTATATCTATCGAAATAAATCCTACAGTTACGGAAACCGCATTTAAATGTCACGTCATCGTCATGATCTTGATGATACGTCACCTTCATGATCATTATCTTGATTGTTGGTCGTTAATGTCACCACTGTCATCCTTCATCATGAAAATCATAGTTAGCATCAGCGTCAGTTTTGTTACATCCTCTCTTTCCTGGTAGACCTAGTGAACTTCATCTGCTTATCTTCCCTTTTCTAGTAGGCGACTGTGTACAGGCTACCGTTTTTCTCATGGTGGAATCTTTCGTTCATCTCGTGTATGATGAACTAGCAATCGTGTAGAGAAGTGCATTTGGCATGATAGCTTGAAGAACGGCAAGGATTATGTTGTGCAAAGACAGCGACCGTGACGGAAGCCTGTTCTGAACCGGAAACGGGAACTCAGCAAGGCCATTTACAGTTACAGCAATGACAACGTTAGGGTATGTTAGTCGTTTGTTCAGGGCGTAATCTGTTCTAACAAAAGTTTACAGAGTGTAGATGGACCCTAAATTATAACATGGCCGTGTTTAACCAGCAGCACTCGTAGTGCTGAAAAGAAAAAGAAAGTTAGCGAGAGAGAAAGAAGGTTTTAACGATTGGAATGGGTTTTACTTGCACTTAAATAATGGGGCGCTGATGTCTGTTTCCATGCCATTTTGAAGGTGGAGTCAACAGCAGCTATGCGGCATGCATAGCTTGTTGTTTTCCATTTGTTTCTCACAGAATAGTGCGCATCTATCAATCTTGGAAAGAAGGGGAATGAGTCACCTGACCTGATACCTCTCGGTTCTGAATTTGGCGTTCTATCGACCAAGCAAACTTGGTCCAGTACAGGAAAAAGTCACTTTTAGTAGTGATAAATCGGTTGCTGGCACGTCATATTGTTCAGGAGTATTACCAATAAAGTGTACTTTACCACTGTCGCTTAAAATGCGAGCACCGCTGCTTAACGTTGCTAGTCTTGATGGAACTTTGTGAATGTACATGATACTCATATACAAAATGTCTCGCTTCCATAACATCGTCGCAGTCGTTTCGAAAACTGTCAGTCCTCTCTACAGGATCCCAAAATTTGCTTGGAGTCGATTTGTAACAGCTGTTTTTATGTACCGTTGTCTGGTTCTTGTGTGCTTCGCATGACATTGCTTGTGTTTTACAGATCTCGGCATGGACAGGACGCTTTGCAATTCTTATTCTTCAATCAGCGAAGTGGAGCTGACCGAAATGGCGACATGGAAATTTCCGTTGTTCCTGCAGCTCACATGCTCTTTGCGTATTGCCGACAAGCTCTTCACTTGTTCGGTTTCAGAATTGCCAACATGTTTAGGTAAAAGCAGTGCATAGTTTTTTCTTTTTAGCCGTGTGATGGTGCAGCGAAGGTCTGCAGTTTATTCTACCCATTTTTGTAGGTTATAGTTCTAACGGCAGTAGACTGTTGAAACAGCCTTTACGAAATGTGTAGCTTCACAGTGGTTAATATTTATTGAATATCTTTAGTCTGAAAAGACATCGTAAACAGTCTCGTAATGGTAATGCATAAAGGAAGCGATTAGAAGTGTTGGTTGAAAACATTTAGTTTGTGAAGAATGACAATTTAGCAACGGTACTAACAGTGGTGCTGCTTCTTCAGCACAAATTATTAATGTGCAGAACAGATATTTTGGTTACAGGTAATAAAGATCTGCGGGTATTTAATAAAATGATACATCAGCAGGTATATAGTAAAGATTGCAATCACATTCATTGATTATTTCGTTCATTTTTCTTCAACCTTTGGTTCGCCGACGTCTTGCATTGGGCCTTTGTAGCTCATACCAGTCCACCAGTGCTGAGATCCATCGGTCATCCGTCAGTAGTCAGATTCGAGCTGCACGCAGGGGACTGGGTCCATGTTTGCTTAAGCTTTCCATTTCTTTCGATCTTGGCAAATGGTTTGCGTTGCTCTCCACGCTTGGCAGAAATCTTGTACACAATGTCCGTTGGCCTTTGACCACTGTTGAATGGCGTTTCAAGTGAGGGCTCTGTAACATTTGGCCCCCTCAGAGATTTTTCACTGTCTCCTTGTAAACAGCCGCTTCCTTTTCGGTGGTTTCTCGTTCCCATCACTGACACTTCGTATTCTGAATATACATTTGCCCAAGCTTTGAACTGTTTTTCTGTTGATCGATGGTCGTTACCGTACAGTAACGGAAATGAATTTGTGGACAGCTAGCATGAGTTATAATTCTTGAACGCTGTTTGTTATCTGATTAGATTAATGTTTTAAAGTGACTATATTTTGTAGTCGACTTGTTTCGCAGAAGCGAATTCGATGCCTGGGACTACGACCCGACGAACCTCGAAGTGTCGCTTGATTTGAACATCCTGATGCCGGGTTTCGACGAGGCGAACGAGTTTTCGAACGGCATCGGTTTTGTCACCAGTCCTTCTAGCAACGATTACGTCAGTGAATGCTACTCATACGACATTAGCGACTTAGAATGCGATGAGTATGCTACATTTTCGCTTTTTCGCTTGTTTATGAATAATGTTTTATTTTCGGAATGGGTTTCCCAGGAGGTTATGCACAAATTTTCTTGAATACTGGGATAGTTTCCAATTTTAAAAGTCGAATGCGCGGTCTAAAACTTTGTCTTCAATTTTCTACCTGGTCACCCCGCTTTCATCTTTCTAAAATAAATTAATTGCTTAATGTCTGAAACTAATTACGGTACGGTGTCGTGCGTGGCTGGAAGCGCCTGTATTTCGATTC